AACATGTGAAAATGATCATTTTTACAACTGATGAGCAAGATGATACAGACAGATGAAGCCTGCCTGGCTAACGTAGGGGCAGGAGTCCCAGTCTTTAGGGTTTTGTGTAAATGAGGAGAGGCAGGAGTTACAGTTGATATTCAAAGCAATAGCAGCAAAGAATGTTGGTCTCAATTCCCACTCTTCATATCATTAGCCACTCAGTTTTTGGCAAATAGCTTTTCTTGACTTCAGCTTACTGGTTTCCTCAACTGTAAAGCAGGAATGTTGAACATTAGGCTATATGGCAGAATGAATTTTAATAGATTTCATAAGTATGGATGAGGCTGTTTTATCTGCTCAATGTCTGTACTTTCGCATCCCAGACCAGTGAAAGCACAGTTACCACTGCAAATATGAAAGCTGATTTGACTTCTTTTGATCCTATTTTGCATCATAAAAGCAAACTGTAACCTCTAATTTATTCAATTCTCATATATTTTTAAAATTCAATGATTGGGTAAATACAGATAGTTTTTTAAATACCTGTCTAATTCTTCGAGGAATTAGTTTGAAGGTTTGGGTGGGTGTTTCTGTGGGATGAAATGGGGAAGATGGAGATAGAGGAAGTAATATTTCCCAGGTTTATTAAAAATTCAAAATGAAGAGTGAATATACCTTAAAGTATACCTACTGGGAGTAAACCTACTATGAAGATTGTATAGACTTCCCTCTTTCTGTGTTTTCCTCTTAGATAAAAAGAAAATATTTTGACAATAAGTATTAAATCATTTGATAATTAACCAGACATCCTATGTCTAATTCGTTTATTTGGTAGACTCACATGCACCCTAGACATGCCACAGGTAACTATTAATTATTTCTGTTTTTAACTGATTGTGAGCTTGAGAAAATAGAACCTCCTTGTAAGCACGTGCTGTACAAAAGTTGTTTATTAGTTATCCATCACAGAAAGCCCGCCAGCAGGGTTTGGGGCTATATGTAATTCCAGAAAAGAAATCTTTGGTGTCTTCATATCCAAAGGTGTTTCCACTGACCCATTAATGTTGGGCATGCCTTCAGAGAGGCCTTCCATGGACTGACTGTGTCTATGTTTGTCAGAGAAGAGATAATTGGCCCCCACAGGAATGAGAGCCATGACCTGGGCTTCCTAAGTGAAACTGTCAGAAAGGCTTCCAGGGTCAGATCTACAGTCTAGGCAGCCTCTACACTGAGTTGCTGACAGTAGAATCAAGGGTTATTTTGTATAAGTTCCTTGAAATGAGGCGAACCACATGGTGTCAAGTTCTGGGTGTCTTAGTAACTCAGCAGGGAGCTCTCTTGTGTGAATAGCCTTACCTTTATCTGTTCTCAGTTCTCCTGTCTCAAATGTTCCAGCCTCCTCATTAGTCCCCTTTACTGTTTCCAGTTTCTATTTACTTTTTCTTCTTATCCCAAGTTTTCATCTTTGCTTAGAGCATCTTTAACAATGTATGGCACTTCCAGTAATTTGATCTGAATGAGAAATAAGACTTGAAGAGACTAAAAGAATAGATTATTTTGTCATTAATTCATCTCTCCTTATAATTTCTATATTCAAAAATGTAATAGTAAACAAAATAATGTCTTTGGTTTCTGTATAGCTTTATAAGGTTTTAAAATGCTGTTTTAATAACATAATGCCATATTTTGTTGGTAAGGATATGACCGTGATGTGGTACAAACTACAGACAAACTTTGGAAACAGTTGCAAGTTTAGTTCTCGCTTTACCAGGTATTTGGTACCAGAGAGAAAGACAAAATGCTCATTTCAGTTTTCTTATTTGTAAAATAGAAACAATTGCTTGTACCTTGAAGAGTTGTTAGTAACCCTAAGGAATGTGTTATTGTTAGAGGGGCATATACATAATCTGCTTAAATGGTCCTGAGGATGGTGACTAAAAACAAGGTCTGAACTACTTTTTTTTTTCTTTTTTTTTTTTTTTAGATAGAGTTTGCAACGGTACGATTTTGTCTCACCGGAACCTCTGTCTCCCAGGTTCAAGTGATTCTCCTGCCTCAGCCTCCCAAATAGCTGGGATTATAGGCATGAGCCACCATGCTCAGCTAATTTTGCATTTTAGTAGAGATGGGGTTTTGCCATATTGGCCAGGTTGGTTTTGAACTCCCGAAACCTCAGATGATCCACCCACCTTGGCCTCCCAAAGTGCTAGAAGTACAGGTTTGAGCCACTGTGCCTGGCCATTAGATTCTAAATTCTTATGGAGGCTTATTTAACAATGAATAAAGGTGATGATGATCATTCAACTCAACACAACTCCTTGTTTAAATAATGTAAGTCAATGTCTGTTAGAAATTCAGTTGCATGCCTTAAATTGTTAATTTAAATATGATATGTAATTATATGTGAATATAGGTAGTTAATTTGATTTCTTCTATTAATGAAGACATCTTTTAAAGATGTTTATGGAACTTAAGATGATAGCCAATTAAGAAAATGGCAGTATGTATTATGAATTCACTAAAATTTTAAATAGAATTTTGTTAGTTATAATGGAATCTTTATACTTGAAAAATGATCTGAAATGTGTGTTATTTGAAAAGCATGTTAATAACCTTGTTATAATAATCCGTACAAATATTTAAGAACTCCTTTGCATGACTCTAAAACATGCTCCACGCTCACACCAGAGTTCCCTCCTTGGCCCACAAATTGGAGCAACTGTTAGACAAAATTAGGTTGTATAACAGTCAGGTTTTAGGTATGAATAATATGAATTAGATATGAATTCATACCTAGTTACATATAAGTAATATGAAATCCCAGTGCACACTAACAATTCTCTCTAGGCTATGAGTGTGGGTCTTAGCTTTAAGCTGATGGTTTAAATTCTATATGTATAAGTGGATCCACATCCTCTTCTTTTAGTTTTTCTGCCTCACAAGTATTTTGCTATTTAAATGATCCATCACCATTATGTGTGGTTTATTTTTCCATTTTGGAAAAAAAAGTGATAAAAATTAATATCACGTATATTCCTTCTTAAATAGATTTCAATACTCCAGAAAAAACAAACACTAAGTAAATGCTTAATGGTGTGAATCTGAGAGGAGAGTGCTTTTAGTAAATTCAGGCTGTAGACATGTTTGAGTAAAATTTTGCTATCTTTGCTCTAAAGACACATGCTAATGGATGGGCAGGAGTAGCATTAATGAGTTCACTCCATTAAATTAGTTCTTTTTTCTTGTTAAATATCCAAGAGAAAGATGGTCCACTTAACTAGGGAAAAAAGTTTTTATTTTACTGCAGTAGAAGCATGATGCATATTTTCTTTCTAATTTAATTTCTAACCATTAAGAGTCAATTGTACAAATGACCCACTGAAGCACTTGGAGAGATTAGAAAACTATAAACTGAATGTCATTTGAATTTGGCTGGCTAGACACCATGATGTTATATAGGGTAATTCGAATTTAACACCATATTTTTATGAGGCCACGAAGATAAGACCAGTGACTTCTGTGAATAATCACTAATGAGGCCCTCAAATGGAATGTGAGAATTGATCTCTTCTCTGGTTGTTGTTTTTATTAAACACCACATTGGCCAACCCTTCTAATCACTGTGATTTGAACTTTTGTTTAAATAGTCAAGTTTTCTCTTGGAATCATAGAAAAAGGTTGCTGTCAGTCTGTGGGCTGAGGGAAAAGGATTATAGCTTTAATGAGCCAAATCTGTGCAAATGAGAAAATAATAATCTCATAATTAGGACTCCCTTTTTTAAACTAAATGTTGGTTGTGAGTTCTTAAAGAAAAATCATTTCATTATTTGGTTAAAAGAATGTTTGGAAATTAATGGCACTGGAAAGGGGGAATTAAAATGACTTCAGCTTGTTTACCCGAATGTGTTCATTGCTGGAACCACATCTTCATTTTCTAGTGAAAACAATTATTGTTGTTTTCCATGAAGTTTAGGTAGCAAGAACCATGCATTGTCTGTTCAAGCAGTTGATGTTGACTGCATAGCGCAATCACTTTCAGTCTTTTTGAAGTTTGCTCTGTAGGAAGGAGGACTAGTGCACCCAGTTTAAAGATGCAGAAATGGAGTATGGCCTGCTCAGGGCTCAAAGAAATCCTTGAAATGTAATTAGAAATCAAGACTGTCAGCTCCCATGTTCAATTTGTAGATCATTATAAACAGCAGCAGCAGTTACAGCAGTGCTGGTAGAATAAATGGAGAAGAGAAAGCATTTCAACAACTCCAGGAGTACTCAGTTTATGAGCAGTACTCAGCTTATGAGCAGACTTTATTTGGAACTCACAACACATAGAAGTATGTGTCTACTTGGTTGTGGTTGGGCGCTCAGGACTGCCTAGGATATTATGACATGCTACTTAGTAGAGGCATGCAATTCTCCCAGGGTTTCCTAGCTTCTTTTTTGAGCTTCTCCTGACACTTCAGGGTCTTCTGGATTCCCTGTGTATATGAAACCTGACCTTTCTGAGGCTTGAAACCAAGAGAGTTTAGAAGCCAACTTGGAATAAATAGCCATTTGGAACTCTGTTGGAAAAGTCAGCCAGCCCCATGAGGAAGTTCAAGCTGAATGGGAAAACAGTGAAGGCAGAGGATGTGAGCCCTATCGTATCCCTTCTGTGGAATGTGGCATCACAGTGGAGAAGGATTCCAGCTAAAGAGTGGGTCATTTGTGTGGAGGCCCCTGAAATGGGGAAACAATGTTTGCTTGCTTGTCCTGGGTTTCAGGGAAGACAAAGTTCAAAAGTCAAAACTTTCCATGATTAAAGTTCCATTCTCAAGAAAGCACCACTATGCATTAATGTCAGTAAGTCACCATGACAGACTAGTAAAATGGAGCAAATACAATCTTATTTTCCTATGTTAAGAATGATTAAAAAAAAAAAAAAGGGCCCTTTGGCTCATGCCTGTCATCCCAGTATATTGAGAGGCCAAGATGACGGTTACTTGAACCCAGGAGTTTGAGAACAGCCTGGGAAACATAGTGAGACCCTGTCTCTACAAAAACATTAAAATTATAATTTAAAGTAATGGTCCACAGTGATGGTATGGCTGTCTCTAAGATCACAAAAGTAGTTCTTAGGAGAACTTGACTTGCTACTCCTGTTATCTGATGCTTGTTGAGGACTGAGTGTGGATTGATCCTGCAGAGGCCAAGGGAAGACTTTATCTTCACCTTCTGAAATTTCACTGAGAAGTCAAATAACAGAAGATTCACAGAAGAAAAGGGATGCATATTTATTAATATGCACAAGGGGAGGACCACAGAGATTACTTCTACTCCCCAGTAGGGTTCAGAAGCTTATATACAATCTTGAGATTGTGGAAAGAATGGGGTTTGGATCATGGCAAAATAGGTTATCGTGGTAAAACATGGGAGGGGAGCAGGGAAGAGGAGGCCTAGATAGCAAAAGGTGGTCTTGTTTTGTGGATGAGATAAAATAGATGGTGACTGTTTCTTACAGATCTTTAAAGGTTGTCAGATACTCAGTTCATCTTTTCCAAATCTGGACAAAAGAAAGTCTTAGAGAAATCCGGGCTCCATCAATGCAGATTTTCTCTACAGATGCTCATCTGCCCGCAAAGACGGTTTTCAGGGCTACTTCTGTGTGCAGCCCTCTGAATGGCCATCTCAAAATATGGCAGAGTATATTTTGGGGTAAATTATTTTGATTTCTTTCAGTTCCTCCTTTGAAACTTCAAAAAGTTGCATATGCCAAAAGGCAAATTGGTAGCTTTGGAGAGATTTGGGTTAGAGGTTCTTAGATAAGACAGGAAAAGGAAGGGAAGACAAATTGGGATAAGCAAAAAATAAAAAATAAATAAATATGCCATTCATATTATCATGAATCCGTTTTGTGTTCCAGAGAATAGATCAGTTGAACAGCTGTTTTCCATTCTAGGAGGTGCCCTGCTAATGAGCTAGAACTCTATATAGGATGCAACAAGTCCATCTCTAATAAGAAGCATTTTTATGGAAACTAAGAAAAGCAAAGGTTAATATCTGGAGTAGTCTGCAGGTTTGTTGTTCTAGAGTCTCTAATGCATCTTCAGATGGCAGTGGCGATCTTTGTGGATTGTGGTTTAAATTGGGTGTTCAAGTGAACTGTCTGAGTAGCTCATACATCAGCTGGCACAAAAGCTGTTGATATGTAAGTTGCTATGGTGATTTCTCCCAACATTTATATCAGGTTATCTAGCTTCAATGTGCAGAGCTTCAGGAAAAGCACAGTTTTAGTTTTAAGTGATTCCAAGGAGGAAAAAAGGGAGAACATTTTGAAAACATTAGTTTGGGCACTTGTAGCCAGGAAATAATTCAGGATCCAGTTCAAATTTCAGACAAATAAAAAAACTCAAAAACAATGGTCAAGGCTAGAATCTAATAGCATGGGTACTATAGTTTTCTTTGAAAACATAATTTCTCTCTTCAGTTTCCCTTTTGTACCAAAGACAAATCATGTGTAGTAAGACCATTTGTTTGCAAAATAAATTTTAGTTTTATAATACTTGACATTATTTGCATAGAGTGCAGAAAGAAAAGTGACCATATAGGCCCTTTGCTGTTGGCTTTGCTGTGGCTTGTTCATGATGAATCTCAGGTTAGACTTTTCAAAGCCTCTAGAGACTATAAAGCCAAGCCAAAGATTTGGCATCAGACTGTGCCTGTAACATTTAGATGATTTGAGTGAATTTCTGTTTTCTAGAGGTTTCAAAATATCTGGAGGTTTCTGGGCCTCTCAGAAAGTGACATTCTTTCTTACTGCAAGGTCAGGAACCTTGTATGGAAACAGTGTGGACAAAGTACCAGGTCAGTCTTTCCGAAGGGCTTTTCATTGGCTCTGTAAAGTCAACTTCAGTTCCTTAAAGCAGTCTGGTCATATCTGATAACAAGTCATTCCAGTCAAAGCCTTGATAAAATAGTATCTACAAGTGTGTCCTCCTATGGAAAAAAATGATTCTTACTGAACCTATATAGGTAACTATATTACCATAAAATAAGAATATTCATGAATAGTTTCAAATTTTTGGAGAAATCATGTAGATAGAAAGGTAAATATTTCAGTTTTGCTCACAAGAGTATATATTACCCAATTGTTGTAAGCTATAAAGAATAAAATATTTCTTGACTCTGGAAAACAAAATATAAAAAGGAATCATCAATATTTCAAATGAAAATCATTTTTAAAAAGTGTTTTAGTCCTGTATCAGTTCCACCCCATGTAATTAACTTATTCTGCTTGCTGTTGGGTTACCAATATTTATGATTATATCAACTTTTAAAATAGAGCCCTGGGAGGTTTTACACAGGCTAATGATAAGTTCTCCAAAGTTATCAAAAAACTGTATTCAAGAGTACTTTCAGGGTCCACGCTATAAAATTTTTGAAGAAGCATATTTTGGACTGTAGCTGATTATAAATGGATTATTGAGAAAAATCAAAGTAAAGCAATAATTACCTGTGAATGGCAAAAGACTTAGAATAGCCATGGGTAAAGATGTAATTGACAAGGAAATGTTTTATATCGTGGTATACAACAATTTAACATAATCATAATTATGACTGGTAATGTCAGAAATTTAGGGATCTCATACAGTTTTAGAACATATATTAATAACATGTTAATATAAATATAACTTGAATAAAGTTAACTCCATTTTTTATTTGATAATATTTACCATATGATTTTTACATACCATGTAAACCTCATACGTCTTTCTTGGGCTTCCAGGAGTTCTTTTTAGAATTTCCAAAAGTTAGTTCAAGGTCAAAAACACATTTTAGAATTTGAAATTTAATTTTGGAAGTTTGTCAAATGTCAAAGGTTCAAAACACTTCATATCAAAATAAGACAAGCTTAAAACACTTGATGAAAATAGGATCACAGGTCATTGTAAAATCATAGTCAATCATTTAGCTAAAGTGATAATTTAAAAATATATATTCAGGCCCGGTGTGATGGCTTACACCTGTAATCCTAGTGTTTTGGGAGGCTGATACAGGTGCAGCACCTGAGGTCAAGAGTTGGAGACCAGCCTGGCCAACATGGTGAAACCCCTTCTCTACTAAAAATACAAAAATTAGCTAACGTGGTGGCATACGCCTGTAATCCCAGCTACTTTGGAGGCTGAGGAAGGAGAATCCCTTGAACCCAGGAGAGGGAGTTTGTAGTGACCTGAGATGGTGCCACTGCACTTCAGCCTGGGTGACAGAGCAAGACTCTGTCTACTAAATAAATAAATAAAACATTCAAACACTCTTTTATAGAGAGGAAAATCAATTTTTCAAACAATAAAAAGATGGAATAAAGACAGATGAAATCAACAGAATATTTCCCTAGAGTTCTTCCCTCTTTTTTCCTTTAGTTTACATAAAAGATAGATAAAAATATTTTACTATGTCTTGTTAATGTTATACAAATAACTTGCTCCATAAAGAAACCTAAATTCTACCTTTCCATCAGTCTATTATTAATGCTAAAGATAATTTTAATGAAATTTTATTTCAATTAGCTTTGACCACAGATTTTTATAAACCTTTTATAACCTCTTACAATTTTTTTTCTATTTTCTTTCTTTCCCCAACTTTTTATGTTCATCCAGTTTTATCTATTCTTTATTTCTTAAATAAAATTTAAAACAATTTTTAAATTTAAACAACTTTTAAAAACCTTTAGACAAAATTACTGTTCTCTTAATGAAAGCTACATTCTCATGCTTACTTACAACATTTCTTACCAAAAATACATCCCACTTTTCTTAAACACTTTGCATACAGAATTGTTTCTTAAATCTAGTAGTTTTAATTATATGTATTAATCAGAATGTTGACTCCTGTAACCCTACGTTTCAGTGAAAACCTATGAAAAAAGCAATTTTAACTGTCAGTCATGTACTAACAATTTATAACCACATATGATTTTTTAAAAGCTTAAGCGTTCTATAGAACAGTTTTTCTATATGGAACATGAAGTATCTACTAGCAGAGCTACATAAGTTTTGTTTTAAAGAAATAAGCCAAAAGCATATGAGCTTAAACTCATATTTAGTAATTAATATCTTAGCTTTATATCTTATTTGGAAATGATGTAGATCATTTTGAATATTCATCATTTAATTTAGCTTAAACTCTGTGTATAGTTACCAAAAATTTTTGAGAAGCCCTTTTAAATTAAATACATCATAAAACATAACTATTATTAAAAGTTTCTTTATAAATGTTTCTCTCATTTATATCTATTTAATCTATTTTTAACAATTATGTTTGGATTATTTTATAAGACAGACAAATCTGGCCATCATCTAAAGTTAAATTTTTCTATTAATCATTTTTGTCTTACTGTCTGTTAGGCAAGTATCATAAAAGCAACAACCTTAAAGTTAAAAACATGAATATTTTGTTGGTAACCCTGAAGACATACTTTTACTAAGCCAACAATGTTAAACTAGTATTATTTACCAGAAGATTGCTAAAGTAATGCAAACTTGAAATGCATTTCTGTTTATTTACTTAAAAAAATTATGAGTGATCATTTATAAGTCAATTTGGTACCATGTAGACTACACAAACCGACATGTATGCACACATACATACAAAAATATAGACATAAAGACCTTGTAGCTTTAACTTTTAAAATTATAGCTATAAGTCAGGTAAAACTCACTAGTTTAAAAGGGCAGTTGGATTCAAACTGTATCTCTGTATGTGGAATAACTTAAAATTTATTCCATATGGCCAAAGGCTTTACTGAGTTTCAGAGAAAACAGGGTAGCAAATTTACATCTGAAAGCACAGAGAGAATTTAAGCTTTTTCAGGAAGTCTGGGTGTGTTAGATTAAAAATGGACACCAAAGTAACATAAAATTATAATAATTTATCACAGTATTTTACAAGGAAACATACAGACGAGCCTAGAAAAATTTAGAAACCTTCAAAAAAAAAAGTTTTCTAAATTTTTTACTGCAAGAAAGTCATATTTTGGAGACCAATCTAGTTTGATAGGTGGCTTTTTAATGTAGTTTCCTTTTTCTAATGGAACCACTGAGCTCAGGGCAGAGCCCATTAATAAACAGGGTTGACAAAATATTTGCTGTTCCCAGGGCCTAATATTTAAATATCTGAAGAGCAGGTGCAGCTGGAAGGCAGAGCATCTACATCTTTAAAATATCAAAGATCCCACTGTTAAATTGAATTTCAGGTCCCACCAAAAAGAGAAATGCCATGGGACCAGGCTGTACCATGTTTCCAAAATACACGTCTGCAGAGATGTTTCCTCAAGGGGGCTGGGCAAACCCATGACAATCAGCTCACTGTAATCAGCCTGTCTCTCATGGAAGTCTACCCACTGATGGCAAGTGTTTCTGTCTCCTCCAAATGTTCAAACTGCGTTTTCTTCTTTAAACAAGCAAAAAAATGAGTAATACCCTATAGTAACAACCATCTGTTGCAACTGCTGTGAACCACCTCCGAAACTACAACTCACTATGATTCACCATCAGAAACACAAAGGTCATGCTCTCTAATAGCTCAAAGTGGTCCCTGGTGCCCCACAAAGCCAAAGAGATCGGGTAATGCAGTGCAGAAGAGCACAGAGCTTGTCCTGAGAAGAACCTGACCATGACTCTTGAGACTCCACAGGGAGACAGAAGACTCCCAAAAAGGGGTGTGAGGTGCATTTTTCTGTTTTCCTTAAAGGATCTTGGAGTCTTTTTTTTCCATTTATTTATTTTATTGCATTTTAGGTTTTGGGGTACATGTGAAGAACATGCAAAATTGTTGCATAGGAACACACGTGGCAGTGTGATTTGCTGCCTTCCTCCCTATCACCCACATCTGGCATTTCTCCCCTTGCTATCTCTCCCCAGCTTCCCACCCCCCACCGTCCCCCCCCATTTCCCCCCAACTGACCCCAGTGTGTAGTGCTCCCCTCCCTGTGTTCTCATTGTTCAACACCTGCCTATGAGTGAGAACATGTGGTGTTTGATCTTCTGCTCTTCTGTCAGTTTGCTGAGAATGATGGTTTCCAGGTTCATCCATGTCCCTACAAAGGACACAAACTCATCGTTTTTGATGGCTGCATAATATTCCATGGCGTATATGTGCCACATTTTCCCTATCCAGTCTATCGTCGATGGGCATTTGGGTTGGTTCCAGGTCTTTGCTACTGTAAACAGTGCTGCAATGAACATTCGTGTGCACGTGTCCTTATAGTAGAATGATTTGTAATCCTTTGGATATATACCCAGTAATGGGATTGCTGGGTCAAATGGAATTTCTATTTCTAGGTCCTTGAGGAATCGCCACACTGTCTTCCACAATGGTTGAACTAATTTACACTCCCACCAACAGTGTAAAAGTGTTCCTATTTCTCCACAGCCTCTCCAGCATCTGTTGTCTCCAGATTTTTTAATGATCGCCATTCTAACTGGCGTGAGATGGTATCTCAATGTAGTTTTGATTTGCATTTCTCTGATGACCAGTGATGATGAGCATTTTTTCATATGTTTGTTGGCCTCGTGTATGTCTTCTTTTGTAAAGTGTCTTCATATCCTTTGCCCACTTTTGAATGGGCTTGTTAGTTTTTTTCTTGTAAATCTGTTTTAGTTCTTTGTAAATTCTGGATATCAGCCCTTTGTCAGATGGGTAAACTGCAAAAATTTTTTCCCCATCTGTTGGTTGCCGATTCACTCTAATGATTGTTTCTTTTGCTGTGCAGAAGCTGTGGAGTTTGATTAGGTCCCATTTGTCTATTTTGGCTTTTGTTGTCAACGCTTTTGGTGTTTTGGTCATGAAGTCCTTGCCTATACCTACGTCCTGAATGGTTTTGCCTAGATTTTCTTCTAGGGTTTTTATGGTGTTAGGTCTTATGTTTAAGTCTTTAATCCATCTGGAGTTAATTTTAGTGTAAGGTGTCAGGAAGGGGTCCAGTTTCTGCTTTCTGCACATGGCTAGCCAGCTTTCCAAACTCCATTTATTAAACAGGGAATCCTTTCCCCATTGCTTGTTTTTGTCTGGTTTGTCAAAGATCAGGTGGTTGTAGATATGTTGTGTTGCCTCCGAGACCTCTGTTCTGTTCCATTGGTCTATATCTCTGTTTTGGTACCAGTACCATGCTGTTTTGATTACTGTAGCCTTGTAGTATAGTTTGAAGTCTGGTAGTTTGATGCCCCCCGCTTTGTTCTTTTTGCTTAGAATTGACTTGGCTATGCGGGCTCTCTTTTGGTTCCATATGAAATTTAAGGTGGTTTTTTCCAATTCTGCGAAGAAGGTCATTGGTAGCTTGATGGGGATAGCATTGAATCTGTAAATTACTTTGGGCAGTATGGCCATTTTCACGATATTGATTCTTCCTAACCATGAACATGGAATATTTCTCCACCTGTTTGTGTCCTCTCTTATTTCGTTGAGCAGTGGCTTGTAGTTCTCCTTGAAGAGGTCCTTTACATTCCTTGTTAGTTGTATTCCTAGGTATTTTATTCTCTTTGTGGCAATTGTGAATGGAAGTTTGTTCTTGATTTGGCTCTCTTTAAGTCTGTTACTGGTGTATAGGAATGCATGTGATTTTTGCACATTGATTTTGTATCCTGAGACTTTGCTGAACTTGCTTATCAGTTTCAGGAGGTTTGGGGCTGAGACGATGGGGTCTTCTAGATATACAATCATGTCGTCTGCAAATAGAGACAATTTGACTTCCTCCTTTCCTATTTGAATGCCCTTTATTTCTTTTTCTTGCCTGATTGCTCTGGCTAGAACTTCTAATACTATATTGAATAGCAGTGGTGAGAGCGGGCATCCTTGTCTGGTGCCACATTTCAAGGGGAATGCTTCCAGTTTTTGCCCATTCAGTATGATATTGGCTGTTGGTTTGTCATAAATAGCTTTTATTATTTTGAGATACGTTCCATTGATACCTAGCTTATTGAGTGTTTTTAGCATAAAGGGCTGTTGAATTTTGTCAAAGGCCTTCTCTTGAATGCATCAATTGAGATAATCATGTGGTTTTTGTCTTTGGTTCTGTTTATGTGGTGAATTACGTTTATAGACTTGCGTATGTTGAACCAGCCTTGCATCCCCGGGATGAAGCCTACTTGATCATGGTGGATAAGCTTTGGGATGTGCTGTTGCAATCGGTTTGTCAGTATTTTATTGAAGATTTTTGCATCTATGTTCATCATGGATATTGGCCTGAAGTTTTATTTTCTTGTTGAGTCTCTGCCGGGTTTTGGAATCAGGATGATGCTGGTGTCATAAAATGATTTGGGAAGAATTTCCTCTTTTTGTATTGTTTGGAATAGTTTCAGAAGAAATGGTACCAGCTCCTCTTTGTATGTCTGGTAGAATTCAGCCGTGAACCCATCTGGACCTGGGCTTTTTTTGGGTGGTAAGCTCTTAATTGCTGCTTCAACTTCAGACCTTGTTATGGGTCTGTTCAGGGTTTCGGCTTCTTCCTGGTTTAGGCTTGGCGGGAGGCAAGTGTTCAGGAATTTATCCATTTCTTCCGGGTTTATTAGTTTCTGTGCATAGAGTTGTTTGTAATAATCTCTGATGATGGTTTGAATTTCTGTGGAATCTGTGGTGATATCCCCTTTATCGTTTTTTATTGCATTAATTTGGTTATTCTCTCTTTCCTTTTTTATTAATCTGGCTAGTGGTCTGTCTATTTTGTTGATCTTTTCAAAAAACCAGCTCCTGGATTTATTGATTTTTTGAAGGGTTTTTTGTGTCTCTATCTCCTTCAGTTCTGCTCTGATCTTAGTTATTTCTTGTCTTCTGCTAGACTTTGAGTTTTTTTGATCTTGCTCCTCTAGTTCCTTCAGTTTTGACAATAGGGTGTCAATTTTTGATCTCTCCTTGCTTCTCATGTAGGCACTTATTGCTATATATTTTCCTCTAGAGACTGCTTCAAATGTGTCCCAGAGATTCTGGTATGTTGTGTCTTCATTCTCGTTGGTTTCAAAGAACATCTTTATTTCTGCCTTCATTTCATTGTTTATCCAGTCAACATTCAAGAGCAAGTTGTTCAGTTTCCATGAAGCTGTGCGGTTCTGAGTTAGTTTTTGAATTCTGCATTGTAACTTGATTGCACTGTGGTCTGAGAGACTGTTTGTTACGATTTCCGTTCTTTTGCATTTGCTGAGGAGTGACTTACTCCCAATTATGTGGTCAATTTTAGAGTAGGTGTGATGTGGTGCTGAGAAGAATGTATATTCTGTGGATTTGGAGTGGAGAGTTATGTAAATGTCTATTAGGTTTGCTTGGTCCAGGTCTGAGTTCAAGTCCTGGATATCCTTGTTAATTTTCTGTCTGGTTGATCTGTCTAATGTTGACAATGGGGTGTTAAAGTCTCCCACTATTATTGTGTGGGAGTCTAAGTCTCTTTGTACGTCATTAAGAACTTGCCTTATGTATCTGGGTGCTCCTGTATTGGGTGAGTATATATTTAGGATCATTAGCTCTTCTTGTTGCATTGATCCTTTTACCATTATGTAATGTCCCTCTTTGTCTCTTATGATCTTTGTTGCTTTAAAGTCTAATTTATCAGAGATGAGAATTGCAACTCCTCCTTTTTTTTGCTCTCCATTTGCTTGGTAAATCTTCCTCCATCCCTTTATTTTGAGCCTTTGTGTATCCTTGCATGTGAGATGGGTTTCCTGGATACAGCATACCGATGGGTTTTGTCTTTTTATCCAATTTGCCAGTCTGTGTCTTTTGATTGTGGCATTTAGTCCATTTACATTTAGAGTTAATATTGTTATGTGTGAATTTGATACTGCCATTTTGGTGTTAGCTGGCTGTTTTGCCCTTTAGTTGAGCTGGTACTTGTTGTTCCTTTATATGTGTAGAGCCTCTTTCAGGAGCTCTTGTAGAGCTGGCCTGGTGGTGATGAAATCTCTGAGTACTTGCATGTTCCCAAAGGATTTTATTTTTCCTTCACTTATGAAGCTTAGTTTGGCTGGATAGGAGATTCTGGGTTGAAAGTTCTTTTCTTTAAGGATGTTGAATATTGGCCCCCATTCTCTTCTGGCTTGTAGCGTTTCTGCTGAGATCTGCTGTGAGCCTGATGGGCTTCCCTTTATGGGTAACCTGACCTTTCTCTCTGGCTGCCCTTAGTATTTTCTCCTTCATTTCGACCCTGGTGAATCTGACAATTATGTGCCTTGGGGTTGCTCTTCTTGACGAATATCTTTGTGGTGTTCTCTGTATTTCCTGGACTTGAATGTTTGCCTGCCTTGCTAGGTTGGGGAAGTTTTCCTGGATAATATCCTGAAGAGTATTTTCCAGCTTGGATTCATTCTCTTTGTTGCATTCGGGTATGCCTATCAAACGTAGATTAGGTCTTTTCACATAGTCCCACATTTCTTGGAGTCTTTGTTCATTCCTTTTTACCCTTTTTTCTCCAGTCTTGCCTTCCCGTTTTATTTCATTGAATTGATCTTCGACCTCTGATATCCTTTCTTCTGCTTGGTCAATTCGGCTGTTGATACTTGTGCATGCTTCACGAAGTTCTCGTGTTGCATTTTTCAACTCCATCAATTCACTTATATTCCTTTCTATTTTGTCCATTCTCGTTAGCATTTCGTCAAATCTTTTTTCAAGGTTCTTAGTTTCTTTGCATTTGGTTAGAACATGTTCTTTAAGTTCACAGAAGTTTCTTACTACCCGCCTTCTGAAGTCTGATTCTGTCATTTCATCACACTCGTTCTCCATCCAACCTTGTTCCCTTGCTGGTGAGGAGTTGTGATCCCTTTTAGGAGGAGAGGTGTTCTGGTTTCGGGTGTTTTCATCCTTTTTGTGCCGGTTTCTTCCCATCTTTAAGGATTTATCCACCTGTCGACTTTGTAGTTGCTGGCTTTCAGATTGGGTCTCAAATCTTTCAGATTGACGTTCTGTTTGTTGATGATGAGATTATTTCTGTTTCTTGGTTTTCCTTCAGACAGTCTGGCCCCTCTGCTGTAGGTCTGCTGAGGTTCACTCCAGGCCCTGCTTGCCTGGGGTTCACCTACAGCAGCTGCTGAACAGGAAGGGTTGTTACCAGTTTTCTTCTTCTGCTATCTTTGTCCCAGAAGGATACCCGCCTAGTATCAATCTGATCTTTCTTTTATGAGGTTTCTTTTTGGATATATAGGGGTCAGGGAGCTGCTTGAGGAGATGGTCTCTTTTTTATAGGAGCTCAAATGGTGAGCTGCGAGCTCTGTTGTTGTTCATTCAGAGCTGCTGGTTAGGTACTTTTAGGTCTGCTTCAGTAGAACTCAAACTGCTTTTTGTTCCCAGGTGCTCTGTCCCAGGGATTTAGGGCTTTATTTATGAGTTTCCGTTATGCTGCCACCTTCTTTTTTTTTTTTTTTTTTTTTTTTTCC